TAAATAAATAAGATTGTTATTTTTGCTTGGGTAATATTCTACATTACAAATTAATAATTTATGTCACTCTTGACATCAATTGATTCATTTGATTTTTTGGGTCAGTGCAACAAATTACAAAATCCATCATTTAACAAATTTTACTGATCTGGTAGTACTGCGATAACGTATACATAAGTACGCTGTGATCAGAATCGGTCGGATGATTTTTATCAATTATTAGGTTGATGTAATATATCATTATGTTACAATTTGACAAATTTAATTAACGAAAATGGTATTTTAAACTAATAATATAATTATTTGAAAAAGCTGATTCTGGACTAACAAGGTTGGAATTCAAAGCAATAACTCATGTAATCTAACAGAGTAAATGAAAACATTTGGAAACACTGGTACGAAAATGTTTTACATTTTATGCGTCTAGTTATTTTAATCGAAAGATGTGACAACTTATTTTGTGATTGATGATATTCTAAGATTTATTCTTGGCATTAGAAAAGTAAAAAAAAAATTTGTGTTTTTTGTAAGTTTTTGTACGGGATCTATGAGTTAGATGTAACAAGGATAAACAGTAGTACGCAAGTTTTGCAGGAGATGTTAACTTTATGATAAAACTTTTTTTATTTCAATTAATATAATGTGATAACTTTATATGAACATATGGTTGATTTTGATTAAGTTACGTAAATACTTAACTTTTCAAAATTTATGGTTTTACGAGTATAACTTGTTACTCTACATATTTTAATATTTTTTATTATAGAAGAAAGGGTTAAAAATAAAATTAAAAAATGGTGGCTTCAAGTACAGAAATATGGACTAAATAAACACTTGAAGTTTCTAAATATAACTTTAATTATTAAAAAGTAAGGTTAAATTATTACATGCCATATTTATTTTTCAAAAGTTGTTTGTATCAAATATAATAAAACTATAACTTAAATACGTATAAAAATGAGTTTTATTCTTACTTTTATAGTCTGTTTTATGGCTGTTGCAACTCCAAAGATGGCGTAAGTTGTAATAGCTGATTCTTTTTTTTTTAAATGTCTTGTGTAAAGACATAAAAGATAATTTTAATTTTTTTTACAGTACAATACAGAAATGGTTAAGCTGTTGACAAGTGCTTATAATAAGAGTGGTATAAGTATATTTCGATACTTTAGTTGGTTACAAAAAAATTAAATCAATAATTTTTTGTTGATAAATTGATGATTACAATGTATTAAAATTCATAAGTGCTCATTTGATGGAAAATCAAGTGTTGGGAGCTGATATAAATGTTAACCATAAATCTGAAGAGACATTTTATCAATATACTATTTATTCACGTTATTTTGATTATTTATTTATCAACATTTATGCACAAAATGATTTTATCGGAACATCAAATCTTTACTTTTATTTGTAAACACTAAGCTAATTGTTTGTGCATGAACTCATTAAATCAGAAAAAATCTACAAGTGAAAAAAATAAATCTTTAATCTTATTTTTTGAAAAAAGACAATGCTTATTGAAGAGAAAATAAGTTTGTTTACTTATTACTCATGTAATTCCCTGAAGGGAATTTTAGACACGTACGCGAAACGCGTAATCTGCATCCTTCATAATCTTACCATATACCTAAGCAAGAACGTTGGTATTAAAAGGTATTAATGAAAATAGTTATCAATATAATACACTGTAATAAACACATCACATCGCAAACCAGAAATAATTTAAAAACCATTTTTTCATCTCATCAGTAAAATGTTAGTGTACTGTAACGAAAAAGGAATATTAAAGCTATAAATTTCAAAAACATATTTTTTTTTCATCGTCTGTAAATAAATCTATATTTTACTCTGGATTGCATTGAATATGCTTTGTAATACAAAAAAAGGTACAATCACAGTGAAATAATTGTTTTTTATTGATTATAGTAAGAAATTATTTTTTCTATAACTCATTAAAATGATTTCAGACAACAAAGGTTGTATTGAATTAAAAAAATAAAAAAATTTCTACAGTATTTAATTTTTTGTGTATCCTATAATTATACAATTCTTGCTTGGGTGATGAATTAATTACTTATACTGTACGTTCAAAAGTGTTGTCTTTTTTTCATAAATTCAGTCACTTTCTACTTGACATCAATAGGCATGACTTTTTTTTATCATATATACGTTATTTAGATGAAAATTCTGTCTGAGTGGAAATATACGTATTATGATACGAACTTTGGAAACCAAAAAGGAAAGCAAATTATGATACGTCCAAGTATATTTCTGAAAATAGGAATTTATTTTTGATGGTACATATAAATAAAGTAAATAAAAACGATAAAAATAGAACGATATTATTCGTATTTATAAATATATAAAGTTTAAAATAAAGTAACAAAATAAAATGTGTGTAGTAAAATAAAATTATTTCAGTTCCGATAAAAAAAAAAAATAAATAAATAAATAAAACACACGATTTATGATATTACTCATGTTATTTTGAT